TGGAGATAGGAAGAAGCTCGGATGAGCTTAGTAAGGAAGAAGAGGAAGAAAGTACAGAGAGTATGATGAATAGAGAGAGAAAATAGAGAAGAGGGAAATTGCAAATGTTATTTCTCTGATGCTTTTCCTACCAATCTTGCTGTTACAAATAGGATAGGCTAACTACCTCTAACTAATTTCTGTTACAACTCACGCGCCTGATGCCAACTGAAGAAATCACTCATACGGCACCGTTCTACTTATTCTTCCTTATTACTAACATTTCCCCAAACGACATCGTTACAATCATTTGTTAACTTTTGGCTTAGCTCCTCTATCCTGACATTACCTCCTGCTCAAAAATTTGTCTTGTCCTCAAGACTGGAAATGAGGAAATTGAGAGTGTATGAAATCTTGGTCTTCCCACGACGCTTCCTCAGGTTCCAGCTGATACCATTTGATTAAGAACTGAATAACTGGTTGACCATTGCGCATGATGGCTCTCCTCTGCAGCACAGACTCTGGTTGCAAGGGACACTGATCTGCATTGTCAAACTCCGGCAATGCCCCAGACACCTGTTGCACTGGCCCAATCTTTTTCTTCAGTAGGGATACATGGAAAACTGGGTGAATTCTGGCTCCTGCAGGTAACCTGAGACGATATGCTACTGATCCTACTTTGGCTTCCACCTGGAAGGGTCCATAGAATCTGGCAGCCAGTTTAAGGCATTTTCTGATAGCAACTGTCTGCTGCCTATAGGGTTGTAATTTGAGAAAGACCCAGTCTCCTACTGCAAAAGATCGCTCAGTACGCTGTTGGTCAGCAAAGAACTTCATTCTTTGCTGTGCCTTAGTTAAGTGATCCTTGAGACTACCAGAAATTCTCATTCGTTCCTGAAGAAGCTGAGCTGCTGCAGGTATGATAGTATCCACATAGGGACCCAGTGGCAAGGGAACAGGCTTGTAACCGTACAAAGCCTCAAATGGGGTCAGCTGCAAACTGGAGTGGTAAGAAGAATTGTACCACCATTCTGCCATTGCTAGCCAACTGCTCCAACGTGTTGGAAATTCCCCAGTCATACACCTGAGATAAGACTCAACACACTGGTTCAATCTTTCACTTTGCCCATCGGATTGGGGGTGGTAGGCTGAGCTATAATGCAAGTCAGTTCCCACCAATCTAAACAGTTCCTGCCAAAAGGTGCTGGTGAAGATCCTGTCTCTGTCTGTGACAATAGACTCTGGTAGCCCATGCAATCTGAAAATGCTATCTAAAAAGAGTTGAGCCACTTTCTTAGCAGAAAATGGATGGGATAGTGCTATGAAATGTCCTACCTTGGTCAGTCTGTCAATGACCACCATGATAGTATCATAACCCTGAGAGTTGGGTAAACTCTCTATGAAATCCATTGTTACATGTGTCCATGCCAAACGAGGAATAGGCAAGGGTTGTAACAGGCCTGGCAGGTGTACATGTTCAGCTTTGTATCTCTGGCAGACATCACAAGCCTGTATAAACTGAATAACCTCCTGCCTCATTGTTGGCCAATAGAAGAGGGATTTAATCCTTTGCCAACACCCCCTTTGACCTGAGTGGCCACCTACAGCAGAGGAATGTAATGCCTGTATAATCCTGGCTCTCAGACCATTAGTTGACCCCACATAGATTCTCCCATTGTATTTCAGCAAATCACTGTTCCATTCATACCCTGGATGTGAGCTAGGATCCAAGAGCAACTGGGAGATGATATCCTTGCAGTGATCATCTGAGAGGTAACTTCCCTGCAGTTCCAGTAACCAATTTGGCTTAACTGTTGTCAAGGCTAGACATGACCCTGTGGTAGTGATGTGAGGCTGCCCCCTTTCGTACAATCGAGACAAAGCATCTGCTACCTTATTTTCCACTCCTTTTTTGTATTGGATTTCATAATCTAGGCCCAGAAGCTTAGTGAACCACTTGTGTTGTAGAGCAGTTGTAAGCTTCTGATCTAACAGATACCTTAGTGACTGATGATCAGTTTTGATAATGAAGTGATATCCAACAAGGTAATGGCGCCACTTAGTCACTGCCATTACCAAAGCCAGCAACTCCTTTTCATAGGCTGAGAGTCCCAGGTTTTTAGGTGACAATGCCTTGCTAAGGAAAGCCAAGGGATGTCCTTCCTGCATTAATACTGCGCCAATTCCTCCTCCACTGGCATCAGTCTCAATGGTGAATGGTTTCTGAAAGTCGGGTAGTCTAAGAACAGGTGCAGTACACATGATGTTTTTCAGTGCAAGGAAAGCCTCTTCAGCCTCTGGATTCCATGCAAAGCTATCCTTCCTTAGCAATTCAGTCAGGGGTTTACAAATGATGCCATAGTGCTTGATAAACCTTCTATAATACCCAGTCAACCCCAAGAATCCCCTCAATTCCTTCACTGTCCTTGGACTTGGCCATTTCAGAATACTATCTATCTTGGAACTATCCATTGACACTCCTTCTTCTGTTATAGTGTGGCCCAGGTAGTCTACTGTCAGTTGTGCAAACGAGCACTTAGAACGTTTTGCAAACAGGTTATGCTCCCTTAATATTGATAAAACTGTCCTCAGATGTTGCTGATGTAGCTCTAATGTTGGACTATAGATAAGTATATCATCAAAGAAAACCAGAACAAATTTTCTCAGGTAAGGCTGGAAGATCTGATTCATAAGAGCCTGAAATGTGGCCGGGGCGTTTGTTAGCCCAAAAGGCATTACTAGGAACTCGTAGTGACCACAGTGTGTTTGGAAGGCAGTTTTGTATGTGTCTTTAGGCTTGACCCTGATTTGGTGGTAACCTGAAGTGAGGTCCAACTTGGATTTATACTTAGATCCTGCTAGCTCATTGATTAGTTCATCTACATTGGGTATGGGGTATCTGTCCTTGATAGTCATTTCATTCAGCCTCCTGTAGTCTACACAGAAACGCCAGGTCCCCTCTTTCTTCTTGACAAGTAGAACTGGAGAAGCAAAGGGACTGTTACTGTGAATTATGATTCCATGTTGCAACATATCCTTAACCTGCTGCTCAATTTCTCCTTTTTGTGAGTGAGGGTATCTGTAAGGCTTCATTTTGAAGGGCTGAGAATCAGGTTTTAGTGGTATCTCATGATCTAAACTCCTGACTGGAGGTAACTCAGTTGGTGCTGCAAATACATCTACAAATTCTTCAATAATACCCTGGACCCCTGTAGGGATGTCATTTCCCTGCTCTTGATCACTTTGTCCCAATCTCATGGACATGCATAACTGTCTCTTATATTCAATGAATGTTCTCAGATCACCTCCCCTAATTAAATCTAAATCACAGTCTTCAGCCTGGCCATGCAAGTGTACCGCTTCCCCTTGATGTTGTAGGGAAATGGTCAGCTTGTGAAAATCAAAAGTGATAGGGCTGAACTGAGTCATCCAATCCACCCCAAGTATTATGTCCCATCCACTTAGATCCATTACTTTGAGATCATAGCAGAACCTATGCTGATTAATTCCCCAGACCACCTTAGGACATATCGCCTTACTAGTTACACAGGCCCCGTTCCCCACAACCACAGAAAAAGGATTGACTAATTTATAAGGAATATCAAATGCGATTACCTTCTCACTGCTAATGTAGCTATCAGAACTGCCAGTGTCCACCAGTATCAGCATTTCCTCTCCATCCAGTACGCCTACCAGGGTGATTGTTTTCCTCTTAAGTGCCTCTGACAATGTGTGTAGGGACATCTCCATAACCTCCCCTGGATTCCCTGTGGTTTCGTCTTGCTCTCCCAGTGCATCCTCAAATTCAGTATCCTCCTCCTCATCATTGACCAGAAAGTTCAAATGACCAAGTTTGCACTGGTGTCCCTGCCCAAATTTCTCTCCACATTTGAAGCATAGGCCATGACTTCTTCTGTACTGTATTTCTTGTGCTGAGATTTTTCTTGGTTCTGCTTCAGTATTAGCAACAGGTTTGCCTTTGAAATGAGTATTCCTGAATGAACCAATAGGAGGTACTCTGTAATGTGAACTGTGACTCGTCTGCTGAGATGCACTTTTTGAGATCCCAAACCTATTCTCTGAGTTAGGCCTTACGTTCTCTTTAAGACTCCTGGACTGCAAGTGCAGTGCATTCTCCTGCAGTACTGCCAACTCGAAAGTTTCAAATAGAGATGTAGGCCTCAACAGTCGGATCATAGTCTTAATTTCGTCCTTCAAGCCACTGATGAAGCTTGATACGAAATATTCTTCACTCAAATGTGGATTTTTCACTGCCATGAGAGTCTTGAGTTCTTCGAACTTTTCCTGGTACTCCTCGACCTTCCCTGTTTGATGTAATTTGTTGAATTCCTCCACGACATCTTTTCCTGTCCTGTTATCGAACCTTCTACACAATAAGTCTTCAAACATTGGCCATGTGATCTCAGGTTTCTCCACCTTAACACCCTGGAACCACCTGTCTGCCTTCCCTTCCAGATACATCTCAATCACTTCGACCTTCTGTTCCTCAGGAATTTGGTAGTTTACGCAGTACTTGTTGCACTTCCGAATCCATTCTCTTGGATTTTCCCCAGAGAATAAGGGCAAATCAATTTTGGGTGGATTCGGAATCAGAAGCTTGTTTGCCTCCCTCCTTCCCGTTCTGCCGCCTTCGAATCCTATGTGCAGCCTCTGATTAGGTGGTGGTGTTGGCAATAGTGGCGGTTGATCGCTCATGGTCCTTCCAGGTTCAAAATTCAGCTTCTCCTTGTCCAGCAACATCTTCATGAGAGCGCTGAATTCTTGTTTGATTCCTGTGACCAGACCTTCCATTCTCTTGTTGTTTTCCTCCAACTCTGTCCTCAGCTCCTCGCGAAGCTGCTGTTGTTGATGGTGTGAAGCCTGTAGTCCTTCGATCACCTCCTGAAGCTTGGAATCTTGTTTCTTAATTTGTTCCTCCAAGGTCTTGAATCTGGTACTCTCCGCCATTGTTACTAATTTCCGAGGAATCGACAAGCTCTGTTTTGCCTGGTGGAAGGAACATGAGCGTGTGTGTCTCATGTAATTTCTGCAGTGCAGGTGGCCGATAATAGCACAACAACTTCCTGGGAGAACCGATAATGATGTGAAGAACGTCTGGAACACTAAGCTGAAGAAGAAGCTCTCTGCAATAGGAATTGATCCAGTAACTCATAGGCCCTTCTCCCAAATTCTTGCAGACTATGGAAACATCGGCGGCTTCCCAAAAGCTAGAAATCGATCTGGCTGTCTCAGCAGAGACATAAAGAATGCATTTGTGCTAAAATCTGAACAATCTCGTGGCCTTCCAGAGAGGTCTTCGCACTTTGACAGCCATTTTGGAACAACAATTTCACCACTCGCAGTGGAACCATCCAAACAGCATTTTATGAGCAACTGCAACCATATCTCTGCTGCCCGCAGTCAGTCCCTTGAACTTCTTTCTCAGCTTCAGGCCATAACAATGGTTACAGAAGCCTCAACTTACACCAATACTGCAGCCCAAATCCCTGCCGAATGCTACTCATCATCTGCATCATCATCACCGGAATCTCCGCCCTCAGCTACCAACCAAGCCGCTGCATCTCCAAGCTTCAGTTGGTGTGATTTTCTTCTTGAGGACGCTTTTGTACCCACCACATATATTGAGGAGAAAGAAAACGAAATGAAGCTTCCACCAACTTATGATCCGAAGTCAAAAGAAATGAAACTTTCTGTTGCAGCAGAAGAAGAAGAAGTGGATATATCAGCCAAGACAGTTGAAGCTTCATCAATCTCCTGCGGTTCATTTGTTGAAGCAATGCTTGAAGGTGAAAATGGAATGCTATCAGATTTCCACGGCCTCTTGGAAGATCCATTTTTCTACTAGCTCAATGATACGTCGTACCATATTATATGTGCCTTGCAAATTTCCAAGGAGTAGCATGAATCGTGTTAGGATGATTGATTTCAAACCCCTTGCTTGCTTTTGATGAGTCCATAAGGGGCTAATAATATGATCTTTCAATAATTCTTGGTGACATCTTTTGATTTTGATATATATATATATATATATATATATATTTTGGAAGGATCCTGAAAAGCTTTAACATGATGTATAGTTGAGCGTCCCCACCGGGTAGTTCGAGCGGTCCGCTCCCCCTCTTTAGAGTATGGCGACCTTCCTGGCAACTAGGATTTGAGTTTCGCTGTTAACGCGTTCGGGGGATGGGACCTCTCCATCCGAATCGAAGTGAAATTAGTCGGGTCTCGTAAGGATTGACTCGAACACTCACTCCATTAGAAAAAAAAAAAAGAAGTATAGTTGAGCAAGTCATCAACTGCCATGCACCTAATTTAATACAAATACTAAACAATTTTCATATTTTGAGCATTTCTACATTAACCCCCACAAAAAAAAAAAAAATCACAAAAACCAATAGTACATATTACTATCAATCTTTGAAAAGAAGGAAAAACAATTGCCAAAGGTGTTTCAACAATTTTTTTTTTTAAAAATAAATTGGGGAATAGAATTAGTCTCTATAATACTATCAACATATATTGTATATGCTACTTTTACAATAATAATAATATGTCAATTATTTCATGTTTAGTAGTAGTGATAAATAATTGCCACCAATTCTTGAAAACCAATTAGTATTTAGTTCTAGTAACTTTTTAACTGCTACAAACACCTGATGACCTGAAGAAGAAAGAAAGAAACAAAGAGAGAGTCCGTCGCGAGGGGAAGAAGAAAGAAATGGTGGCGATATCGGCGGTGTACAAAGGGAACCTCCACAAGGTTCCCACCGACGTCCCTCGCAAATGGCTCATGCCTTCCCGCCAAATCTCCCTTAAAGACTTCAAAACCCTTCTCCGACGTCGTTCCCGCGCCGCCCTCTCCCGCCTCCCCCAATTGTCTCCGACCCCTAACCCTAACCCTGACCCTAATTTCAGAGGTGCTGCTCATGACAATAATAATGATAATAATAATGACAGCGACAATGAAATGGTTAATAATAACGATAAAAATGCTTGCGCTGAGATTATTTATAGCTCAAACGAAGGAGCCCAATGATAAAGCAGGAGGAGGAAGATGAGATCAGGGTTGAAGAAGAAGGATTAGTAGGTGATCAAATCGGATCTGGCGCATCTGAAACGCTAGTATTATCTGATGAGGTTGCCCTGGAGAAAAATGACCTGAATGCTGCTGCGCTGCTGTGGAACGGGGGCAGCAGCAGCAGCAGCAGCATGAGGTCACAGAACAAGAGGACGAGAAGAAGAATGAGCAGCAGCAGGAGGAGGTACCACTGCTGCTCAACCCTACCGCACCTCAGGTAATTGGGGTTCCTTTTTATCTATTTGTGAGCTAGTCGATCTCGGTTGCATCTCATGCTTTTTCATGCGTTCAGTTAATTTTGCCTACTCCGCTATGTTTCAGCAACTTTAACTTATCGAAGATATGAAAATATACTTGCAAGTTATTCCTTTTTTTTTCTTTTTGGATTATTTTCTTGTCGATATGATATGTGTATGGGCTTCTTTTTCTGTGCTGTGAAAGCAATAATGTCCCGTGAATTATTCTGAGCATGTTGTTGTGACGAAAGAATGCACTTTTGTTCGCTTTCATATGACTTGATTTCTTGATTCATGGATGTTGGTGACCACGGAAAAAATTTGGTGTTTGAACCCACATCTGGGTTCACTTCTGTAAAGAGAGAAAAGGATTGTCTATTGGCATCTTGGTCGAGACAATTGCTTTGGCAAACAGTTATGCGTCCAAAATCATTTCTTTTTAATGAGTGTTCTGATTTACAAAAACGGATTTTTTCACTTAGGGCTCCAATTGATTGAGGCTTTTAGTGAGACTATCATTTTGAGTTCTACAATCCTCATTCACCTTCTCTTTTTGTTGTTCTTCAATGCTTCAATATCTGTTTTTCCTCGTTCTCTAAGTGTCTTAAATAGCTGTATTAGATGCTTACATCTCCTTATTCCAATTCTCAAACATTGCCGTGTAGGATTCTATCTCTATACTAATTAATAACTGAGAACAAATGTAATCCATAGGCACAGAATACATGACCAGGAGATTTTACTTGCAAACTCTAATAGATGCATTACCATTTTGATGGGAAAATCTGCTTCTCTTTGTACTTTTTAAAATCAGAGGTTTGAATCAGCTGGTGTAAGATTGGGATTGCCTGCATTCCGTACTTCAATTTCTCAAGATTTGCACATCTTTTTCTGGGATTACGAGTTCAAGTCTGATTTAGAATTTTGATCAATGGTGAGAAACCACAATGGATATTGAAGTTTTCTCCATCTCATGTACCTGGTTTCAAATGATTGTTTAACCTTCCCATTGCACATTTATTAACGATATCTGCTTAGTCTGCCTTAGAATCTCTTGTCTAGAAAATTTTCAACAATTTCAAGTAATTATGGGAACTTCAGATTCAAGATTTTTAATCTGGTTGTTGAATCCTGTGCAAGTAGCAGATTATTGTACCATTGCTTGTTAGGGCTAAGTATGAATATTATCATTTGCTCAGAAGGAAAGAAAATTGGCTAGATAGTGTATTTCTTGAATGTATTCCGGAGTCTAGCTCATAAGCTCAATAAATGCCTAGTTAGTTAAGGCCCATATATATGCATATATACACACATGCACAAACACACACTATCTTGGCTCTGTAGCTGTGGAGGGGGAAAAATGTAATTGACAGAGCTTTATGGGTGCTGGGATTTAGTGTTTTTCAAGCAGATGGACCCTGCTGGTCAAAGGCTGTGCATGCCAAGATTTTTGAGTAACTGTTGCATATATGTGCCTCTTATAGGACCCAGTTATAAATGAGCCTTTTAAAGGTCAACTGTGTGACATGAAGGTGGCGACAGTTTATTAGACGTCCTGATGTGGATTACACTTCTCTAGTGATCTTATTTTTCTCTTATTTGTGCTTGCCATTCATGATTAACTTTGGCTGAACATTTTCTTTTTCTCATTTTTCACAGACGACCAGCAAAGAGGATGAAGAGAGTGATAAATACAAAAGAAAGAAGGAGGTTGAGGAGAAACTGAAGATTTTGAAAGAAAAAAAGCATGGTCTGGTGCAGGTGCTAAAACAGGTAATGCTAGGTTATTTTCTTCACTTGTATGATATTCTAGATGGATTATCAAACTCTTCAATTTTAAACTTCTTTTTGAGTATGACTTTATATTTATCGATATGCTGTTATCCATTGTGTTTAATAGATCCAAAATGCAGAAGAAGAACTTAAGAGGCGAAGCAGTGGACAGGGCATGGCGGTTTGCCCATCTGTTCCACTTCAAGTAGACATTCCAACTGATACCGGGTCAATGACTAGGCTTAACACTCCTAGAGTTGGCTCAGATGGAACCCTTGGCGGTGAGGTGGACGGAGGGGAAAATGATGGCATGTTGAACCATAATCCCGATGCTCGCCATTTGCTTCGTATGAGCAGCAGCTCCCCTTCCCCTTCTTCAGATTCTCAACCCAAGAAGCCTGCTTATAATGTGGTAAGTTGTCACTACTGTTTCAGAAAGCTTCTGTGAAATTTTCAAGCCTCTCATTATCAGATTTTATATCCATCAAAGGTTATTTTATTGGAGTTCAGTTTCTTCACATTTAAAATGTTTACAACAATTTGGATCAGGTTCCGAACCCTGCAAGAGCCAGTTTAGGGGTCTCCAGTCCTTCACGCTTTGCGCCAACCGGTCAGCAGGGACTGACTTCAAACTTGCCAACCGTTTCGGTGTCAGGGACCAATTATGTTGCCTCCTCTCCCTCTCCTGCTGCATCAGGCGGAACGTCAGTTTTTAGAGAGAGCAGGGTCCCAAGTCCGTGGAATTAGAAGCAATATTTTGCTAAACTGGAGAGGTATCGACAGCATGAAGACATTATTTAGAATATGCGTCTTTAATGTTCTTAGAGCGTGAGTAAGTTACTACGCCTTTGTCAGTGGCATTTCTGGTATCCGAGTAGTTTAATTGAAGGTATTGCAATGACCCAGTTTTGGTTCAGAGAGAGGTTGAAATGAATGTTTGCACTATTGTATAGTTAAGGACTGCGTATCCATGCGTGTGCATCAGATAATAAATAAAAAGTTAACAGCTCTTTAATAAAGGGTCATGTAATGTAATCTGTCTTTGTGCTACGAAGCATTCAGCTTGAGTTGTCTGCTAATTCCTTTAGACTTTTTCTCTAATCTGAAACCCAGATGTGCCTATGAGCTTTTATTTAGGGTGCCTGTAATGCATTGATGGTTTCTGTTAGATCCCCATGCAGTCGTGCTACAAACTGCTTGATTGGTTCTTTAATGATAACAGTGGATTGTTGTGGGGGGAGTTGTTATATCCACTAATTTTGAAAGTTGACATGATGGTTAGAAGTTGAACATGGTGATTGGCTTCATCATTTGGCCGGTGGCATTTCTCTATCACTCCCCCGTACGGACCTTTGAATTTCCACTCTAGCAACTATCGCAGTTTGAATATCCGGCGTAGAATTTTGGGCATATCTGTCGTCTTCACCTTTAGTGTCTCGACTCTTGGGGTAGTCTTGACTACTACAGCCTGGCTTTGAATGATGCATCACAAAGGGTTCTTATGTTCATAAGCTTTTAAGTTCATAGATATGCGTCCCCCAGAACAATAGTTGCGAATTACACCACATGCTTGCCACAAACAACAGCGGACAAATAGCATAGGGGAAAGAGGTGCCACCAGCTGTAGGGTGTTGTGCCAAAACCAATCAGGTAGACTAAGACCAGACTGTCCGCCTCATTATTGAACAAGCATCAGTTTCAGGATCATTTGGAGCGTATTCAAAGATCTTCCAAACGTGCATTGTGGGTTGGGGAAAGACGAATGAGACGACAGCAACAACCAAACAATCCCCCAACCCTTCATCTTTTTCAAAGCTATTTGTTATGCTGTTGCCGAAATTATTGACTTTTGTTTGTGTGCATATCTATATTTAGCCTTATTTGATGTCTTGTTTATTCTAAGAAGAATTCCCTTTTAAGGCAGAAAAATGGGTTTTCTTGCTGCTAACAAGCGTAATTTATCTGAACGACTACAGCTTTCTACTACTTTGGACCTTTGGTGGATTCAACAAAAGAAGATAAGATGTGGAGGAGGAGGCGGAGAAAGTTGCCGGTGGTTCTTCGGTTTTGCTCTGGTATCAGCAGTGTAGTTAGTATTGGTGGTGAGTTTGACTATCTTGTATTGGAGTTTGGAGTGTGACATTTTTTTAAAAAAAAAAAAAAAAAGAAGAAGAAGAAGAAGAAGAAAAGATTTTTTCAAAGCATGTCAATCAAAATTGTGGAAATTTCAGGATTGAATGGAAGTGACTTGATTGATGAGTTAGTAGGTAGGGCGATGGTACGTTTGCAAAAAGGGCTATAATATTAAGAGCAAATTATCTGGCTGGCCATTAAACTTTTGCCATCGTTGAGTTTTGGTCACTCAACTATTAAAAGTCTGATTTTGGCCACTCAAATATATAAAGTTAAGATATGAGGCCATTCTGTTAGATTTAGCCGTTAAATTCGTCGATATATCCGTTCGCGCGATTTCCAAGACAAAAGGTAGGGTTAATTTAGGAATTCAATATAGCATTCAATGCTTCTCTCAAAAATTATCGTTCTTCTTCCTGCCCCTCTTCAAATCTTCGTCAGACCCTTTTCATCCACCGCAGGCATCACTCCTGCAACGCCACCACCGGTATAAAGCTTGAAATTAGTTTCCTGTCTGGAAAATGCTTGTTGAAAATTAGGATAATTCAGGAAGAATAAAATGAAGGATTTGGCCAGAATTGTGAAGGCTCAGACTTCTTGCTATCTTCCCAAGCCAGTTAGTGGATCGAGAGAGCTCCGCCCAAAGAGTGCCTACAGCCCGTGCTAGCCCAAGATCCCTCCAACATCTTTGTGTTTTCGGTATCTGCATGCCACCACCACCACCTCCTACTTTGAATTGCTTATTTGGAGGAGAAGGGAAGTTTCATCTGCGCCGTCTCCTTGGCGGCCGCTTGATCCTTCCTCTTTAAACAAATCTTCCCTATATCTTTTCCTTAAATAACTCTCTGTGGCATCTTGCCCACCGCCGCCACCGCTATCTCCGCCACCGTCTCCGCTGGGAATCGCTTCCGTCATTTGATTTGCTGCTAACAAATGCTGCTGCTGTTGCTGAAAACCCAACATGTGGGAAAACCCTTCCTCATAGGGGTGGTGAGCTAAGGCTAGCGCGCTGTGGAAAGAATGAGGAGCTGATTTTGAAGGAGGAGCAGAGAGAGTGGAGCCGTTGCTCCTGACGGATATGTTGAGGGTTGAAATGTTAGCCGGGATGGTTCCCGTGCCAGTGGCGGCGATTATGGCTGGCTCGGCTTGCTGTAGAAGCCACTCAATTGTCTCGCCGTCGGACTTGTGACCTAGCTCTCGAGTCAACTGGAAAATCCTAGCTGCACAGGCAGCCGGCATTCGGATACGCCTGCCTCGGCCATCAACTTTGGTATGGCGGTCCTTTGTGGATCTCTTGGGTGGCTGCTGCTTAGGGTGGATTGGTTTCAATAGCCCTATTGACTAGGAGAGTCAGCATTCCGGCAGCTTTGACTCTGTTGCAGGAAGGACTACTTGGAGTTCCATACCATGACTTCCATGGCAATCTCCCAATTGATGTGGGTCTCACCCTACCAAATCTGAAACTAATACCTGTTACGGAAAACAATTTCTCTGGAATCTTTCCCACTTCAATCACCAATGCTTCTGGGCTTGAGGAAGGAACTTGAGGAACTTGCCCTAAAGAAGAAGATGCTATTTTTAATTTCCTAAATTAACCCTGCATTTTGTTTTGAAAATCGTGCAGACAGACAGATCGGTGAATTTAACGGCCAAATCTAACAGAATGGCTACGAGTTTTAACTTTATGCATTTAAGTGGCCAAAACCAGACTTTTAATAGTTGAGTGACCAAAACTCAACGATGGCAAAAGTTTAATGGCCAGCCAGATAATTTGCTCTAATATTAATAATGAAAGTGATGAGTGAGCTCTTCATCTCTCTTTCTTCTTCTTTTTCTTTCTAACATAAAAAGGTATCTTAGCCTTTTTTTCAAACCCAATTCAAGATTTTAACTTAGTTTTCAAAATTTAACGTGTTCAGATGCATTTTGATAAACCAAAATAAAATATATGAGATGGGGTGACATTTTGAATCTCTTAGGCAAAACTTATTTCAAAAAAGAAAAAAAGCGATCGTACTTTTCACTCGTTACTTAACATGATAATATACACTAAAATGTATCACCATTTAACGGACTCGCACTTCAGAGTATTAAAAATTTAGTACTCCCTCCGTCCCATTTTGATAGTCTCATTTCTTTCTTCACATAGTTTAAAAAAAAAGTAGTTAATTTTGTTTGAAAAGTAAATTTAGATTGCTATTTTTCTAAAATACCCTCACATTAAATATGGTACAACTTTATGGGAACTTGAATTGATGGTAAAAAAAGAATCAACTCTCATTAAATGGGGTAGGTTTATAGTAATAAGGATATTTTAGGAAAATTAAAATATAACTACATTCTTAACAATGAAAAATGGATTACATTTTGAGACAGACGAAAAAGGAAAACGGGACTATCAAAGTGGGACGGAGGAAGTACTTAACAATTCAACAATTTAATAAATCCAAACTTCATATTCCGTATTACGATTTTCAAACTTCAATTTTATCGAACACGCTCCTTTTTTTTTTTTTTTTAGTAGTGTACATATTATTATTACCGAAACAGTAAAAGTAGGGAATGTAGGTGTAATTTTTAAAATTAAAGGAAAACTTGGTGCTGTAGTCAGAAACCTTGAGTTACCACTAAAGAAAAGATGATTACTTTCCGCAGTCAAGGGGAACCCATTCCTCGTCCTCCGCCCTCGGCGCACAATACAACAAAAGTAGATCACATCTCCAGCAGCCTCACCACAAAGCTCCCATCCGTTGTTACTCTCCCCGCCGCTAATAGCACACCACTCCCCACAAAACACAAAAACGCACCATATTCTCCAACTCAAAAACTGTTCGCTATCCCCTTCCATTCCCTCTCTTTTGTAGATAGAATAGAAGAAGAAAACTACTACATCTATCCATTCATCATCCCATCCTACCGCTCTACCCATTCTTCATATACTGACCAGTGGCCTCTATGTTCTTCCAGTAGCCTCATCATCATATTTTTAGTAGTCTTTAATAGTGGTATTGCACTGTCCTCCTACTAGGACTTAGGGGGGAGTTTTAGGACCCAACAATTCCAGCCAAAAAGCCCCCAAAAACAACAACAACTAAACGCCACTTCGCAAACTCAACCCAAAGGTGGTGCAACTTATCATCATCAGCAGCAGCTCTAAGTTCTAGCTAACTAAGGGAACCAAAAGCCAAAAGTAGTATCCTCCATGGATCCCACTCCCCTCAAAAAGCACCCGACAAAATCCACCACCGCCGCCGCCTCAAAAATGCCTCCTCCGGATCCCATTCTTGCTGCCCCCCTTCCTCCACCGCACCACCATCCAAAACATATCCAGCCACTTCGCCAAGTTGTATGCGAATCACAAGTTTCTTGCTGCTTCCTTAAAAGCCTCCTCACATCCACACGCTCATTCTCATCAAGAAGAAGAAAAGGGTCTCAAAGATGATTCCTCTGCTTTAGACAACTCCTGCGTAGCTTTGACCAAGTCAAGTAGCCAGCACGGAAGAATTCATCGTGGAGCTGCACCGGCAGATTTGGCCTCGGCAAATGAAGAAAGCTACCGCACGAAAACCAGGTTAAAGAAAAGGACGACAGGAAGTATTCTCTGGTTAATGTCAAGAAGAAAAAGCCCCTGCCTGATGCTCCTCCAGCTCAGAAGGCTTTATTAGACGGGCATAAATCTAATCTTAGAATCAAGAAATCATCGTCAGGAGCAAGAGGAGGAGCAGCCCAGAAAAAGGAGGAGGAGTTCTATGACGGGAGGAGAGGCGTGAAGAAAGCGTATGGCTTGATGTCGAGGAGTCTTGAATTGGAGAAACCTAATCAAGCCACGCCGTCGTGTGAAATGAATAGACCATGTATTTCGCTTGCGGTGAATGGCAGAAGGACGTCATTTTGCTGCTCGCGAGCTGAGTTGGCTGACTTCTTTTGTTGCGCCGGCGTCAAGGTTGTGGCTGTTGACATGCCGCCCTTTATGCAGATTCACGCTGTCGATTGTGCTAGAAAAGCTCGTGATAGCTTGGAAAAATTCACTTCCAAGACTCTTGCTTTTACCCTCAAAAAGGTACTCCTGCCTGCTATAGCATCTGTCGAAAGAGCAATCAGTGATCATTGTGGGCTTTTTGGTTTAGGTTCTGTGATGCGAGGCTTTCCTTTTTTTTTTGTTTTTTTTTCCGTTTTGGGGGATCAATTCGCTTGCTGATCAGCAGGCACGCTGGTTCTTGAATTGGTTAGTCTCAGTTCTGATTTTCTTGCTTGCAGGAATTTGATGGGGTTTATGGACCAGCCTGGCACTGCATCGTAGGGACCAGTTTTGGTTCCTTCGTGACACACTCAGTAGGTGGCTTCATGTACTTCTCAATGGATCAGAAACTATACATCCTCTTGTTCAAAACAACTGTACAGAGGGCTGATTGAATGATTTGGAGGTTGAAAACTATTCTTACTATTATAGGGGAAATTAGGCACTCACAAAGGCAGGCCTTTTTCTCCCCCTTCCAACTTTGTACAATGCCAGCAGCCTTTTTCTCCCATGGATATTTCTCTCGTACTAGTTACCTTGTCGGTAGGCTCTTTTTTGAAGTAGTTACAGCACAAAAAAGAAATACTTTCGACTCCACTAAACTTGTGGGGGGGTTTTTGTTTAGATGTTAGTACATTGCCTAGTAGTATCTCAAGAAAACTTGTTAAGATAGCCCAACAATCAACATATATATATATATATATATACCTACCTCCTCTACTATGCTTCTATGTCGGTTTCGGTGAAACTGTTGAAGGTAGTGCTGATTTTTGTGGATAGCATATGGTGATATAAGTAAGTTCGAAGTGTAGGATGATGATATATGAGGCTGCATTTCTTGTTCTTGGTTCCATGCCGGGTTGGCAACTTAGCATCCCACCATCAAAAAGAATGAATGAAGGGCTTGGAACAAACAATTCTTGTAAGGTCAGCTAGGGTCCTCCCCTATTCCCCTGCCTGCCCTGGTCTTTGGAGATCAATGAGTGGTGCTTTTCATTTCTTAGTCTAAACAATCATTGCTTTAAGCAAAAAATTTGACATTATTTTAGAGTTGAGATAAAACGTACCAGTAGTACCTTCTGTTTTGCCGCAAACCAAACCACACCCCACCTTACCTTAAACAGCCCCAGTCCCACGAACCAAAAAAAATCTCTCATTGCTGATCATTTCTTTTCCATAGATTTATTTTTGGAAAGGGAGTTGTTATGTATCCTTCCTGGGTTAATCTCTTGCTAGTTGTTACCTCATTTCATCTATGGTTCCCTGTTGGAATGGCCCAACCACTATTCTGAATCCATCCAAAGTATCATATGAAGTTTTTTTTTTTTTTGGCATTTTGGAACTTTGATAATAGAATTGCTTATCACTCAATGTAAGCACTCCTTGATTTGTCTTCAAAATTTTTTTTAGTTCACTTGATTTTCTAAATTGACCAGACATGTTATTTTTCTTTCTTTTACATGCAACACACACACATATATCAAAGAAAAATCGTTACGTTTTCTGTGAATATATTTTTTAACCTCACATATATCAAATCGTTACAATAATTTTTGTTTTTACAAAAAATCCAGAAAAATGCAATCCAAACAAAGCCTTAGGTTGCATGGCGATCTACTTTCGGGCAAATATTTCGAGTTGAGGCTTGGTTTGATAAGGTTAAAAATAAGAGATTAGCAAAAAAAAAAATCCCAAACCCCTACTCATTTGGGATTGTTTGGTGGTGTGAAAAAGTTTCCATCTAATTAAAGTGGAATTGGCCCTGCCAACTTCCTCCTCTCTTCTCTCTTAATTCCTTCAATCTTTCCCTTTCAATCCTAAATCCGTTGATTCTGTTCCTGTATTTGACATACCTATTGTTAATGAGAAGTTGAAGCTCCAATAATCATCTCCATTCCCTGTTCCATTCAAATTCGTCAGGAGTTAATTCACTTCTGCTGCAACTAATCTGTCACCATTGCTGCTAATTGGTTCAATACCATAACAGTGGTATCAGAGCAGCTACGGTCCGTCTGGGTTTGGCTGCTTGATTAGAAATCTTTCCTCCTAATTTTTCCTTCACTTCTGATTCACCTTCATCCCTATCCATCTTCATCTCTTTTCTGACCAATCAATATATATATATATATATATATGAAGACCCTTGAAGAAATCTCTAAAATGCTGAATTACTTCCTGGTAGAGCATAATAAGCCTAAACAAGCAACTAACGTAGTAGAGTACTATGAGGAATTTGAAGAGTGGAGAAACGAGATGTTGGCTTTGAAACCAGAACTCAGTGAGGAATACTTTATTGATGGTTTTAACTTTGGGCTTGATTGGAATATCCAGATGAAGCTAAAGAGATTTAGGAGTCCACCCAAGATCTTGTATGAAGCATATCTCCGAGCAAAAATCGAGGAAGCCGTGATGGAGAAGCATGATTCTGCTCTTGATTCACCAAAAGGAGAGCAGCTTATGAAAGAAAATGAGGGTGTAGAGGCTGAACACAATGATATAATCACTAACTTGAAGGATGAAAGTGTAGTCAGCCACATGTTTGATGGGTTGTGCCAAAGGACTTCAATGGATTTTTTAGAGGAGAACCAACATAAAACATCAGCAAGGGAATATCAAGAAGAAAAAGCTAAAAACCAAGTGTGTGATAGATTGGCTCACAACGATTGTGTTATCTCTCAAGGGCTTAGCTATGAATTGCTTACAGGGGAGCTAGGTTGGCAACAAAGCTCTATAGACAAGGAAATATTTAACTCTGCTTCACCGCTCCACTGTCCCAGAAATTGGTCTTCGGTCAGCCGTGAGGTAAAGCAAAAGTTCATTGAGATTTTATTTAAAAGACCAATCATGATGATCATAGGCTACAGGGCCATTGCCCGGCCTACTTTCTCCCTTGTCATTTGTGACGTGCCTGCCATTTCCTTCTGTAAGCCTCAACTGTATTCTTCTTCCATGAATGGATGTAGATTCATGCGGTTTAGTTGTTCAGTTTCTGGTAGAACCGTTTCATCTACTTCTCTAGACTTATCTTTGTCCAAGGACAATTCTGGTAATGAAGGGCTTCAAAGGCAAAAGGCTTCTTCCTCTTTGTATGCTCATCCTAGTTTGTCACAGATTAGGAGTGAGAAGGCAGCCAATCGAGCCCCTGTTTATGATTTCTTGAGGGGAATTGGTGTTTTCCCTGATGAGCTTGATGGATTGGAGCTCCCTGTCACTGTAGATGTAATGTGCGAACGTGTGGACTTTCTTCACAGATTAGGCCTCACTGTTGAGGATATAAACAATTACCCACTGGTTCTTGGCTACAGTGTCAAGAAAAACATGGTTCCCGTCCTTGATTACCTCGGCAAGTTGGGTGTTAAAAAATCTACGTTTACAGAATTCTTGCGTAGATACCCACAAGTCCTCCATTCTAGTGTTGTTGTCGATCTTGCACCGGTAGTTAAGTATCTTCAAGGAATGGATATCAAGCCAAATGATATTCCTCGGGTTCTGGAGAAGTATCCTGAAGTATTGGGGTTTAAGCTGGAAGGCACCATGAGTACTTTAGTGGCTTACTTGGTTGGAATAGGGGTCGCAAGGAGAGAAATTGGTGGGCTACTAACTAGATACCCCCAAATATTAGGAGTGAGAGTTGGCCGTACAGTCAAACCATTTGTGGATTATCTAGAAAGCTTGGGAATACCACAATTAGCCATAGCTAGACTAATAGAGAAAAGACCTTTTATTCTTGGATTTGGACTTGAAGACAGGATCAAGCCAAATGTTGAGTCCCTTTTAGAGTTCAATGTTAGGAAATCGTTGCTTGCATCTGTCATTGCACAGTATCCTGAAATTATAGGAGTAGATGTTCAAACAAGACTTTGCACTCGAAGGGACTTTCTTAATTCAATCATCCAATTGGATCCTGTTGGTTTTGGGAGAGTTGTAGAGAAGATGCCACAGATTGTCAGCCTCAATAATACTGCCATATTGAAGCATTTGGATTTCCTCAAGGAATGCGGATTTTCCTTGGAACAAGTGAGAAAGATGGTGATGGCCTGTCCCCAACTGCTTGCTCTAAATCTTGATGTCATGAAAGTAAGCTTTGATTACTTCCAGGGAAAAATGGCAAGACCGTTGGATGACTTGGTTTCTTTCCCAGCCTTTTTCACTTATGGTCTTGAGTCAACTATTAAACCAAGACATGCAATGATTGGAAAGAAGGGTTTGAAATGTTCTCTTGCTTGGTTCCTTAATTGTTCTGATGAGAAATTTGAGGAGCGGATGACATATGACACTATTGACATGGAAGAGATGGAAGTTGAGTCATCATTTGACATGAACTCTTTACTTGGTACTAGAACAGTGGTACCAATTTCTGCAATTTCTGCAAATAGGTACTTTGGTCTGCAATTTCTGGCTGGCTTGGCCTGTAATGGCTACATAGGAATTCTCCTATCTGTTTCAAATCCAGGAGTAACAGCAGGACTTCAAACCTTGCTTGGGTGTGTTGATGCTAACATGCAAGACCTTTTAAAGGCAGTAGAGAAATTCCTTGGTTTGCATTATCCGGATCAAGTTGCTCTTAAAAGATTATATATGGTTGGTGGTGCTACTTCTAGAATTTCAGCTCTTGTTGCTCAGCTAAAACAGAAGAATCAGCAAGCTTTGCCATTTTCTTATACTACTTGCTTGCTGCGAATTGCCAAATATCAATCCGAAGACTTTGTTTGGAAGCTTGGAACTTTGTTCGACATCCTTGAGGACAAGGATTGTTTAAGGGGGAGGCTCTGTCATGGAGTATGAAGAATAAACAGGAGGCGTGTTCCAGATTGCATTGAAGGCGCAGCTGCTCAACTTGATGAAGAAAGGCGTGACTTACAAATCACGCCTTCTACCTGATATAACAGAATTATACTTCTGTTTGGCGCAAGTGGAGCTGATGATTCCAGAACTTCCACGTGGCCTCACCTGATTAGCTAGTTTACAAGTTAGTTAGTCTGGAAATGCCATAAAAGGCTGAAGAATCCGAGAGTTAGCATAGATTTTTGTCATATTATTTCCATTGTTTGTAAAGTGGAATTGGCCCTGCCAACTTCCTCCTCTCTTCTCTCTTAATTCCTTCAATCTTTCCCTTTCAATCCTAAATCCGTTGATTCTGTTCCTGTATTTGACATACCTATTGTTAATGAGAAGTTGAAGCTCCAATAATCATCTCCATTCCCTGTTCCATTCAAATTCGTCAGGAGTTAATTCACTTCTGCTGCAACTAATCTGTCACCATTGCTGCTAATTGGTTCAATACCATAACACCCTCTCCCTCCCCCCTCAAAAAAAAAAAAAAAATCCTCTTTCTTTTATAGTAAATATTACGAACCCTATTTGTAACAATTAAATACTACCTCATACTAATGCTACGAAACTTTGATATTTCCATGCGCTATGAGAAAGGATTCGCCCTTTTTTTCCTTGATAATCTTGAAGAGTGAGTGAATTAATTTGACTGATTCTGATTGCATGTGCTCTTTCTAGCATTCTCCTTTTTCACTTACACAAGTCCTAATTGATTAAACATTGTTGGAACATATCACATCACATCTACCATTGTTGAATCACTTCTACTTAGTTGATGGTTTTTTTTCCCTCTCATAGTTGTATTGTCCCGTTCGGCGATGAATTTAATGAATCCAATTTGTATTACTGCAAGAATGGTTCCACTGTATTACTCAAATATGTCGAGATTCATATACTCTTCCTCTGTCAGTTTTACGTTATCATCTCTGGTATTCCTGATGTTTTAAAACTATTGTACTCATCTTAATAACACTAGCTGTCCTAAAACCCCCCTTTTTTTTTCCTTTAATGCTCTACCTTTCTTTACGTTATTAAGGATCTTTATCATTTCCAATACTCAAATATGTTTCATTTTATTTGACGGTCATCCTGAGCTTGATGTATTTGCATCTGATGATTGACATTCACATTTAGAAAACGAAATAATCATGCCATTTGGTTTACATGTTGAGGAAATAGACATCCCGGGGACTTTGGGCGTTTAATTTGCTTAAGCTTCTGTAAAAGCTGCTATATTGGAAAAAGTTAAAAATTTTAAAAAAATAAATAAATGAGAAGAGGCCCTTAACAACAGTACCTTCTAATAACACATATCTTCAGAAGATGCAAGTAAAATTAATTTTAAGCAAGTGAGAAGAGGCCCTTAAGCTCATTTTTGACAAGGTATCCTCTGCCATTTGTTGAAGGTAGGTTTTGGGATGAGAAAAGCTGGAAGGTACTCCATATA